GTTGCAGCTAGGGCCACGTCGACATCCAGCCTCCGACACAAAGAAGCGGCACGGCGTGTTGTGCTTAGTTCCGGCCTTTGTTGGTGACGAAGATGAACTCCCGGCCTCTCCAGTCCCAGCATGGCCGCCAACGGCACGTAGATGTAGAGCTCCATCCGCTCCTCCACCTTGGTTCCTCGTAGAGCTGCGGACCGGCATCGATTGTTGGAGTTCCGATAGCACATGGTCGTAGTACTTCAAGACCGTCTCCTGCGTAGGCCGATGTTGTAGCTGAAGCTCGTTCCTTGCAAGGGCGAGGCGGAAACTCATGTCGTGATTCTTCCTGACAGCCGGGGCCGCAATAAGCTCCACACCCTTCAGCAACACACTCGCATCAGGAGGGGAAACATTCATCTCCAAGGCTCGAGTCAAGTTCCTCCTCCATCTCCGCAGGGAAGTAATGGTCTCCGCCACATTCTCCGTACCCTGCGTGCCCTCCAACTGCTTGAGCACCGTCGTTCGTTCCGCAACACCACCGGGAGCGTAGAGAACGTGAAGTCTAAACAGAGCCCCCGACACCGTTGCCACCCTGTGCGTCACAGCATCATCTCGAACTGCCCGGGGCATCGCAGTCAACAGCATCGTCATGACGCGTCTCTCAAGTCGATTCCACTTACTGTCCTTCAAGTCCGAGGTCAACGTTGGCATGATCGACAATCTCTCCATCGGTGTCGCGACCTGGTGCTTCTGGTACGCCTCCTTGGAGCACCTCAAGGTCTTCTCAAACCAAGCCGCCGCGGAATCCGAAAGGGAACCCACTGTCTGCTCTGCCACGTACAACCAATCACTGAATTCAACTCCGGTTTCACCAACCAGATCCGGAAGAGCTGGGAGCTCCAAACTCCCTTTCATGGCCTCGGTATCCTGGCCACTTCTTTTCTCCAGATAGACTTGCTGGAGCTGTCGCATTCCCTGAACCAAAATGTCCAAGGGAGAGGCATCGGCCTCAGTCAAAGGCACAGTCCCTCCCACGCGAACATCATCTGGGAGTCCCTGGTGAACATTTCCATGATCTCTTTCAACAGAAGTCTCCGGGATTCTCCCAACGAACCTCGCGTGCCCAGCAGGTTCCTCCCGTTGCCCTCGTAGAGCTGGTTCACCCGGCTCTCGAACAGAAGGAATTCCTCCAGGTTGATCAGCAGGACCTGCAAGCCCAGGGGGAGCACGCGGAACTTGTCTAAGGCCATCACCTTCACCAGCGGGGTTGCGTCCAGATTCGCGGCCTGGAACTCCGCCGCGGGCCTCTCGAGGTAGAGGACCAGGTTCACCTCCTCCTGCTTGTACAACATCATGCAACAACTGGGCCGATGTATCAAGGGCCCTTCGTAGTTCTTCGTTCTGAGACTTCAACGCCTGTAGCTCCGTATCTCGACCCTTCATCGCCAACTGCACCTGCTTCCGCACTTCCTCCATGACGGTCTCATGGCTCACACTTGCCGCTGAGCTGTCATCACCTTGCGGTCGATCAGGCGCCACTGGGGTTGTTAAAATCGAAGGTCTTGAGGTCCAAGCTGCCATAGCCCTGCGATTCTCCGGACTCATCAGGGGTTGCTCTGGTAGAGGGGCGCTCGTTGGGGACTGCCACACTGGCGAGGAAGCCACAGGCACTGCTCCTTGACCCATCATTGGCGCCACTAGCCTCCGATGCAACACCTCACTGATCCGAGTCACAGACCACGTACTGGCATTTCGCTCACCCTCCTGCTCCACATGGGCACTAACCTGTGGAGAGCCCATCAAACTCTCCGCGGGGGAAAAGATGCCCCCATCACCCACAGGCTCCTCGGATCGGCGTCCTTGCAGGGCTCTCTGGGCTCGAGTTTGAACGGCTCTTATTACTGCATCTCGTTGTTGGGAAAGTTGATGCGCTGCATGTTGCAGAGGAGGAGGTAAGCGTTCTCCTACAGAGGTAGCCGGGAATTGCTGCAATGGTTGCGTAGACGATGCTGTCACTTCACTAGGTCGAGGAAGACGAGGACGCTGAGGCGGCTGCTGCTGTGTTGATGAAGAGGGTTGTGCACTATCTGCTGTTGCTTGTTGTACATCATGCGCTTGTATGTTTTGTGCACTAACATTCTCCGTTCTCTCTTGACCAACCGTATCGTTCGCGCCGGGTGCGGTTGGAGGTGCCACAAATCCCACAGCTCCATGGGCAGCCTGACGATCATGTCCTGTTGAGGAGCACGGGGCCTCAGCCTGTTCACTCCTGCTCTCGTTCACGACAGAAAGGCTACCCGTACTCACAGGTGGCGGTGGTGGTGGCACTCCATTCACTGCACCATAACAGGGTCCTGCCTCTTCGCCTTCCAGCACAGCTTGTCTTGGGCGACTCATAACCTGA